GGGGGGGGGGGGACCTAGTTTCACCCCCTTCCCCCCTAAGTATATTTCCCCCCCCCCCCTCACTTGACTCCAGCATGATCCTGAATCATGGTTGTGGGCAGTCTTTTATCTATTTTTGTCAATTAAGAAAAAAACAAGAATATCCATTAAACATCTAAAAACTCAATAAAGATTATTTTATTGATATTTTATTTGTTCTATCTCTTGTTTTAATAATCAAACAATCAAGACAGTCCCTTTCAATGTCACATTTATTTTCTTCTTTTTATAATTATCTTATATTTTTCTCCGGCAATGAATTAGGAAATCCTAAATTTTCCTTCTTAAATACTCATTAAATTTACATATTCAAATTTAATTACATGGACTATTCACTTATTTAAAAATTAACAATTTCGAGTTAAGGATCACAACTGAACCTAGTTTTCCGCTCAAATTTATTCTTGAGAGCCGGAAAACTCTAAATGAAATCTCCATTAAAAGATCGGGGATCGAATTTAATGAATTTGAGCTACGCTACTGCCGATTCAACGTTCAGATTCAGGAAGGATTTGAATCGGCGTTGCAGTTCAGCGATCCCTCAAATTCATTAAATTCGGTATTGGGTAAAACAAATAAAATCAGAAATATATATCTTTCAAAATTTAAAAAAGATTTAACAAATATACCCTGTATAGTGTCTGTACATTCATTTTACATCTTCTGCTAAATGCCTCCCCCCCCCCTCATTGGCTTTTTTAGAACCAAGATTTTAACATTTTAAAACTCATTTTGACTAAAGCTAACGAAAATATTTCAATTAAATGTATAATAAATTCTCTATTCAGCAGAAACGATTATAGATAATTCAAAAAGGAGAAAAAAGATTAGAAATGATGATAAGGTAATAAGTATTGGAGAAAGGAAATTCAATATTTAAATGTCATCCCATAATTCCCTCGGGTGTAATATGATAGGGGTTAGACATTTTCCCAAGTGCGACTTTCCAAGTGACAATTTCCCAAGTAGCAACTTCACAAACATACAATTTCCCAAAACTGGATAGGCCTAAGGCCTTAGGAGGCACTGCAAGTTGCCGTGCACTGCGGCTAATTGGCTAGGGTCGAGCGCTTCGTCTAGAAGGCTACCGGGCGGAGTGCCGCTTTGGAAATTGCATATTTAGAAAGTTGCCATGCTTGGGAAAGTACCTTACATCATATGATATATATGGGACACCTAGTCTGATAAATAACGAGCCTCGGCCCAGCATTTGGACACTTTCCCTTGCACTCCTTGCACATTTCCTGCAGCGGTCATTCCAGCTCTGTTCTCTACCTCTACTGAGTTATTTTACATTCACTAGCGGCATTTTGTTCCGTTTTGTTAAAGGGTACCGTTTAACCGTATCATGGTACTTTATGCTCACTAAAATTGGTATTATAACTATTAATGTATGGTAACATAACTCTAAATGTTCACGTCTTCAACAATTTTTGAACGCATTGGATGGAATTGAAACAAACAAACTCAAATCCGTTGGTGGGCGATAATATCAACAAAATGAAGACGACTATTTTAGTAAGTTTTAGTTGTCAAAGAAAAGTGAAGCTTTTTTGATTAAAAGCTTCTTTTTATTTCTATGTTTTTGTGTACCTTGTTGTTTAAAAACTTAATATAAATTAAAATTAAAACCGAAAGTCGTCTTCATTATATATTTATATAATCGCCTACTACCGTAAATAAACAGTTTCTTTTTACATTTTTAAATGAATGCTGGAGTTTTTTTAAATGTTGGAAATATTCTGTAAAAATGTTAAATTGGAAAATACAAAAAATTGTCAAACTTTGTCATTTCTATTTCAAGTACATTAGTTTGTTCGAAAATAGAAAAAATTCAAAAATACAATTTCAACCCAAATAAAAGTAAAAGAAAACTTAACTTTTTAACACCTTCACACTTGTAACAAGCGCTATTGCTCCAATAGATATATCTACAACAACAGAAAATTAGATATATCACACGTACTCTGTGCTGTAGGATAATAACTGCTTCCTTTATTAAGAATGCTGTTTCCATCAACAAACATATTTTGCGATATTTAACAGAAGCTATATTTATATCGCACAGTTTGTGTGATATTTCTTACTGTAATTTTCCCGTTCAATGCGAAAGCGTTTTTTTTGGCAATGTTTTAAAGCAGCAGTACCATTTAAAAAGAATTATTACAATGTAACAAAGCATCTGTAACCTGTAACAATTTATCAGTACAATTCAGCAAAACATCAGTGATCGTAACAAAGTATCATTACTTAGCAACAAAGTATCAGTACTCAGTACACTGAAAGAAAGCAAGAAACCCCTATAACAAAGCATCCGTTCTTTGTAACAAAGCATAGTACACTGAAACAAACAATTAGTACCCTATAACAAAGCATTAGTAGTCAGTACACTGCAATTAAGCATCAAAACTGTGAAAAAAAGCATTTTTACACTGTAAACAGACGCGCAACTAGTGGGGACCATGGGTTCAGCCCCCCCCCCCTAGCCTGATTAAGGGGTAGGCATGCCCCCCCCCCTATTAAGAAGGCTTTCCCCCCCTTTATGTGGGGGCAAGCCTTCTTTCGTCTTAATTTTCTCGAAAATTTGAAGGAAAAAAATAGGCCCCCGCAGTAATTTTAGTTTAACCTACACTCATTCATGCCCCCAACTCTTAAAGCAAACTCAAATTCCACTACAACATTTTTCAATATAAGCTCAGATTCATTTTATTTTTGCCCCTTTTCTAAAAAAAATCCCCCCAAATTGGATTTTTTAAATTATGCTCACACTTTCTTATTCAAATTGCCCCACCAGACTTAAATTTGCCCCTTTTTTAGAATGCCACCAAATATTTATAATTTGCACCTAAATTAAATGCTTTATAAATACCTCCAACTTTAAGGTAATAAATCGCCAATTAAGAAGTTTTGCGCCCAACAAAATAATAAAAAAGTCCCTTTGAAAATGCCCATAAAAAAATTTCCCTGAAAATAAATAATTAAGACTTTCCATACACAAATTTGCCCAAACTTAAAAAAGCCATCCTAAAACAAAATTTGCCCCGAAAACAAAGATTATGGTTTCCATTAACTGAGAATTGCCCTCAAAAAAAAAATTTGCCCCCTAAAAAACTTTTTGGGGTGCAAACATTTTTTTTCGCGTTTTGCGCGAACTATTTGCCCTTAGCGCCTTAGTACACAGTAACAAACAATTAGTATCTAGTAAACTGTAGCAAAGCAATTAGTATTTAGTAC